TACATGATATGCAGAGAGGCTAGATTAAATTGTTCATATCATGTTCGAGTGAAGTAAGTCAATAATTTACTGCGACACCGCACGGGATTTCAGTCTCGCACGCTTTGGATCGTGGTTTCAGGAAGGCATCCATCTCAGTCAAATCGAGCAGCCGCCTCTAAGTAAATTGGGTGGTTGTTGCATTAAAAAAGTCTAACTTGTAATTTAAACACAATAATTTCATGTTTCTATGAATGTAATTAAATCATGAAGAATCTGTACGAAATTCAACAACTTAATTTGTTCTTGTTGAGATGACATGATACGATCTAGTAAGAGTGGTTAGTTGCTGAACTTGTGAAATTCACAAGATCGCACGAGATGTCAAACTGCAGGAAAATCACTGGAGTTATAAGAGGCAGACGACTACACACACACGACATGTATGCTATTGCTATTTATTGTGGTTTAACCTGTCAAGGACAAAAATGTACAAAATAATTCTGCATCAAGCCTTGAAATCATAGCTTTCGTTAAGTCTGGATTGGTGGCATGGTGGTTAGTGCTGTTGCTTCACATTAAGAAGGTCCTGGGTTCAAATCCACAATCTGGCTAGTTTGCACTGGGTTCTCTCTGGGTATTCTGGTTTCTTCCCACAGTTAAAAGTCAAGCAGTTGTTAGAGTTAACTGGTGATTTTAAATTACCTGTGAATGTAAGTGCAAATGGTGGTTTGTGATAGACTTGTGAGTTGTCCTGCCTTGTAACCTATCACTTCAGGGTTATTTCCCTGCACCAGAATAAGGTTAGGAGGATGGTAGCTATCCATTCAATTGTTATGGTAACCAGACTCTAGACTTTGAACATTATGTAATATGAAGACAACATGTAGTATTTAAGTGACCAAGTAGTGCTGGGGTAAAAGTGATTGAATAGTGTTGAAATAAAATGACAAAATTGTGAAGGATTAAAATATTCCAAGAGCTCAACATAGTTCATCTAGACATGTTTCAATCGTGTTTTATGAACACAAAATGCACATGTTTATTACATATGAAAAGGTTGTGTTGATTTAACTCAATTGTTTAAGTTTCTGCCAAAGCAAAACATTTGTGTGCAACCAATGTCCACTATTGAATCAAGTAAATCCAACATGGCCTTTTTTTCAGTGTGGGCTTCCCCTGATTCTGCTGCTTTTTTTGGATCTGCAATTAAAAGTCAAAGGAAACAGTTTTAAGGCAGCCTACATGCTGCAACATTTAGATGGTAGAGTGAGAACTTTGTGTAAACAGCATCATAGCATGGATCCATCCTGCCTTATATCAACAGTTCAGTGCTGCTGGTGTAATACTGTGGCGGAGATTATTTGGCAAAATTTGGGCTCTTTGGTATCAAATGAGCATTGTTTAAATGGCAAAACATATCGTTTGCTGTTCATGTCCATCGCTTTGTGACCACAGTGTAGTCGTCCTCTGACGACTGCTTCCAGCAGATTAACACACCACGTCACAAAGCGCAGATCATCCCAAACAGCTTTCTTGAACATGACATCGACTTCACTGGCCTTTAAAGTCACCAGATCTCAACCCAACAAAGCATCTTTAGCCATGAAGCCAGATAACACAAACAAACTAATTAAATTGCAGGAATGTCTTAAAGACATAAAGACCTGGAAAACCTCTCATTTTCTGCTTCTAAATTCA